CGCCGCCTCCGCCTCGGCCGCTGCTGGACTAGGAGCAGGGGAACATGGCGCCGGGGCCCCCGTCGCCGCTGCCGGGATCCTTGAGGCCGGGGCCACGCTGAGGGCGCCCAGCTGGTGAGTGCGCGAGCTCGCGGGCCCCGGGCGGCGAGGCCGGGCGCCGCCCCGCTGCGGGGTCCAGGGGGAGGCGGGGACGGCGGGGCCCGGAGCCCGCGAACAATGGAGGAGCTGGAGGGGGAGGGGAGGAGCGGCCCCCCAGTCCCCCGGGCCCCGCGGTCCCGGACTCTTCGCGCGTCGGCCCGGCCCGTGGGGCCCTCCTGCCCTTTGGACTTGCCCCTGCCCGCCCAGCCTTGCTGTCCCCGCCGCCGCCCCCACCCCCTACCCGTTGAGATCTCGGTGTCTGCCTCGCAGCCTCCCCGACTTCAGCCAACCGGCTCCCAATTCTGCGCCCCCCTTCCCTTTTCCGCCCCTCCGTGATGCCCTTCGCTCTTCGCGGGCTCTGCACTGGCACCCGCCTTCTCACTGACCATTCTGCATCCCTGAATTGTGGCTCCCACTTTCGAGATCCTTGACCCTTCTGCCTCTTCTCGATTCTCTTCTCAACACCCTTCAGATCTGTCCTCGGCCCCTTCTTTGACCTACCTGCTATGCTATTATTACTGTCTCAGAATCTGTTGCACCTTGGGAGCTGTCCCTTTAGGACCTGCGGTTCTAACCCCTTGGAGATCCATCGGAGATCACTGTTCGGCTAAGCACTGCTGCCCCAGGTCTTCCCCTTGGACTTAATGCCGTTCCCTCGTGGGTCCTACTGCTCGAATTTCTGTCTCTGCCCTTTCAGCGTGCTGCACCCCGGAATGCCCCTTGGCTGCCTCTCTGACCCCTCCGTGCCCCAGTTCATTCCCTGGATCCCCTCGGACTTGGCTGCACCGTGCTTGCCGCCTCCACTTCTCAGCTCTTGCTCCCGTTTGCCATTCAGACCCTTTCCTCTCTTCCAGACCTTTCCGCCTCTCAGCTCTGCCCCTTGCCGGACCTCAGGTCTTGCTGCGCTCCCCTCACCTGATTGCTTTCTGACTTTGCCTTCCCGGGGAGCAGCCTCCTCCCCCTTCTCTGACTCTGCAGGTCTCCCATTTCTGCCATTCACTTAACTGATCTCTCCGTCACTCAGTCTGCCTTCAGTTTCAGCCCCAGTGTTCTCTTGCAGGTTTCCTCTCCTCCCCACCTCCTTTTAGGCACTCCTCTGAGCTACTGCATTCATTTGCTACTCCTTTCTTTGGCCTGTCTCTCCTTCGGTTCTCTGTCTAAAAACTGCTTCCTGTCCCCTCTTTGCTCCAAGTCCTCTCTTCCCCGTTTTGGCCCTTAGACGTGCCCTTTAATCTCACTGTACCCTGTTAACTCGGGCTGCATCTCCCAGACCTGCCTACCCACCCACCCCCATCCTTTTTGCACCTGCACTTTCTCCTCTTTTTTTTTTTTTTTTTAAATTCTGCTCCATCCTCTTTATTGTAGTGTTTGCCTCCCCAGCTCTGCCCCTTTCGGAGCTGTCCACTTGCCCGCACATTTTTAGACCCGTTTTTCACTTCTCTTGCCGTTCTATCTCGGAGTGGTCCTTTAACACCGGGATTCTTATCACCGTGTCCTCCCCTCCGTTCCCTCCCGAGTCTGAGTTTTCCCCCTTGGCATTCTCTTACCCCCACCATTTTGATTCAGCCCTCAACCTTCACTGTCTGCTTTCTTTGCCCACCCTCCACTGCCCTGTCTCTTCGTGGAGTTCTTACTCTAATTCTGACATTAAGATGTCTTCTTAATCATCCTTTCCTATGTATCCCGGCCCCCCCCCACCGCCCTTTTGGAGCTGCCTCAGCGCTGTGATAGATTCTCACTCCCTTTTGATGTCCCTTTCCCAATTCTGTTTCTCCTTGACTTGTTACCTTCCTCACCTTTTTTTTCTTTCCCCTGTATCCTGCCAGGCTTCTCTTCCCGTGTAGTTCCTATTAGACCTGCTTCTCGCAGCTCACCTGTGGCCCACCCATTCCCCATAGAGCTCTTCCCCTTTCAGGCTTGTCTTTCTCTGTTCTCCATCCCTCTGCTGCAGAGGCCAAGAGACTAGATTGGGCCTTAGGTTCTCCAGGCTCTGAGACTGCAGATTCTCTCTCTGCACCCTAACCCTGAGGGTTCTATCCCCAGGGATCCTGGGAGATCTGGGTAAATAGGTGGGGATTGGTTGATTGTTACTGCTCTCTGGAGTCTGGGAGTGTCTCCCCCATTTCTCCCACTTCTACCAAGGTTAGTAGTGTGGAGGGAGGTAGCACTCTTTCCGTTGCCCCATTTTCTTTCCTCTGCTGTTTGCTCTCCCCCTTCCGTTCTCTGGGCTTTGCAGCTTTGTGTCCTTTGGAAAAGGGAAATGCAGCTGCTCACAGATCTTTCTTCTCTTTCTCACTTTCCCTCTTTCCGTCTCTGAGCCATTGCATCCACCCTCTCTCCCCTTCCACCTCTAAGCCAGCACCCCTAGGAGTGTACTTTTTTATTTTTTCTTCCCAGCTAACAAGTCATTTTGTTTTTCCTCTGCTGGGTAAATGCCAGTGTGCCCGTTCTTAAATTCTCCAGATCCCGCCAGGGGTTATGGCCACACTTGGACCTAGCGGGAAGCCACTTGCCTTCCCTAATGGCCTCTGTTTTGCAGTGTGGCCTTGGGGGAGGGGATGGGAAGGTGGGCTTATTTCTTTTCCACCTCTGCCCCTGGGAAGGCTCCAGCTTCCTGGTCTTCAAAATGGTGAGGGCTTGGGTTTGGAAAGCACTTTGCGGTTGTTTGTTGAAAGAGAGAGTGCCAAGTGTCACTCAGATTTCTGCCCTCTGGTATTGCAGGCACTCCCTGCCACAGGAGCTGAGTGCCTCTGGGCAGATCCGTGCTAGATTCTGGGGCTCATTCGTGTACAAGGGGTGTGTGGGTGGGCCCTGACATTCCTTAAGGTTTTTGAGTGACCTGATTTGGTAGAGTTAGAAAGGGGTGCCAGGAACTGGCGGATGTGATTGGGTTTCTAGTCTTATTATCTGAGAAATTTGTCTGAGCTACTGTTCCTGAGCTACTTTCTTTGGTGACTGTATGGTTGGGCTGGGGTTTAGGAAGTTCATTCAGGTCACTCAAAAAAGCCGGGCTCATGTAGGGAAGTTCATTCAGGGGTAAAGGTGGTTTTTACAGAAAATCCGGCTAACCGTTTTCTTCCTTAACTTGGGAGAGGGGATCATTTGCATGTTCTAGGTTTATTTATTTTATTTCCTGGTTTTTTCCCCTGCTGTGGCCTAGGGCCGTCGTATGTTGAAGTAGCACTTACTGGAAGGACTTTCCTAACTTAGCTGTGATCACACTTGGTTTATTTTAGCACTTACTTAGAAATGATCCTGTGGGACACACTGGAAATAAAAAGCATTCACTGTCATGTACAGAGTTGGACCATTCACTCGTGAAATGTTAGGGCATTTGTATATGAGACAGTGAAGAGGGCTGATAGTAGATCTCTGTGGCTCCTTGAACTTTTTTAAATGTTTCTGACAGAATCTGGTAATTTTAATGATCTGTGTATAGCATGGGCTTTCACCATTATTGACTTAAAGATTTTTGGTTCATTTTCGTTGGTGAATCTCTAGCCTTGTGTATCATGATTAATTTCCTAATTAGAGTTTGTTACCCATGTTGATATCAATATTTGTTTTTTATTCTTAATGTGGAAGTGACAGATAATTAAGAATAAAAACAACGGTGTATGCAGTACTGCTTAAATGCGTGTCCCAGAGTTTTAACCTCATTGGCAGCATAAAAAGGTCCTGCATGCCCAAAGCCTAAGTTTACATAATAGGGGAGAGAGGAGACAGAATAAAGAGCTGAAGTCAGGGGTTGGCAGGTGAGGGAGAAATCAAAGAGCAGCAGCAACAGGAGCTAAGCTGGTAACCACCTAAGCTGGTAACTGATGTTCTTAAAGACTGTCAGATTTCTCTGAGGTTAGCAGAGGCCCCAGCCCCAGCGTTGACATTTGCTTTCATGATGGATTGGATGCTACAGAAGTGTGAGGTGGTATCCTTGGCCTTCTGGCACAGTTAATGTGCCATTTGGAGTGGGGGACTGGAGTAGGACATGGTGGTAGACAACTGCTTTCAACGTAGTAACAAGTTTTCAAGGGCTCTTGCCCTGCCTAGAAAATCTTTGTAAAGACTTGTAGAAACTGATCGGATCAAAGTTCCTCACTTCCATCATCTTGTTTTCAACTAACCTTTTTCTGGCCGTGTCTTCCCCCTCACCCCCCGCCCTTTTACTTGCCCCCCATTTTCCTTGGCATGATGAGGGTCGACGCATTTAGGACAATGACAAATCAGAAAATGTTCATTCTTCTTAATCCAGATGAGAAGTTGGAAGAAGTCGTCCATGTGCAGATTCATGGGCAGATCCATGGACCTGATGGTGACTTGTGGCAAAGGACACAGCCTGGGAGGGGGCGAGGGCTGCACAAGTGACAGTAAACTGTAGCCTAATAGATGTTTGATGAGTCTGCATGTGAGGAGGTGATACCTCAGGTCAATAGAGCTAGAGATTGAAAAGATGGGAGTGGTGATTCTTCTCCATCTAGTCTGGTCTGCTTCCCATCTTTGGTCCACTGTGGTCTCCTGAGAGGTGTTAGACCCCAATCAGGGTCTTCCTGTGATCTGCTGTGACTATTGTCAGTCACCACCTGGCAGTCTAAACAGTGTCTTGATTTACACAGTCATCGTGGCTTTTTTGTTTTTTTGAGATGGAGTTTCTCTCTTGTTGCCCAGGTTGGGGTGCAGTGGTGCGATCTCGGCTCACTGCAACCTCTGCCTCCCAGGTTCAAGCAATTCTCCTCCCTCAGTCTCCTGAGTACCTGGGATTACAGGCATGTGTCACCACTCCAACCTAATTTTTGTGTTTTTAATAGAGATGTGGTTGACAATGTTGGCCAGGCTGGTCTTGAACTCCTGATCTCAAGTGATCCACCCGCCTCGGCCTCCCAAAGTACTAAGCTTACAGGCGTGAACCACTGTGCCTGGCCTGTTTTTTACTTTAAAAAAAAAAATTCTTATTATTCATCACAGCACTATCCATGTAGTCCATTTGGTAAAATTTCTTTTTCTTAATATATGAAATAGGTTAAATTGAGATTCTTTGCGTGAAGAGAGAAGGTGACTAGCAGAAGTACCTCCTTTGATGCCTTGGATCATTGGAACTCAGTGTGAAAATCAGTGCCTAGTCCAGCCTCCTCATTTACAGATGGAGAAATGGAAGGCTGGCATAGGGCATTGTGACAGGCTTCCTGCCACAGCAAAGTGCTAGACTTATATAAGGGCAGGGACCTGCCTTCTGATCTAGCCCTTGTTCTAATTAGTTGGAACTTTGAACAAATTGCTTTGCCTCTCTGGGCTTCATCTTCCTACTCTGAAGTCTAGTGTGCTGTCCAGGTCTGATTGTAGGTGCTTGTTGTTCTGGGTCAATTACCAAGTTAGAGCTGGGGCTTAGGACTAAGCTCCTGTTGCTGCTGCTCTTTGATTTCTCCCTCACCTGCCAACCCCTGACTTCCTGTCATCAAGTCCTGGATAGGGGGCTCTTTCTCTGGGAGATGCAGTAATATGAACTGAATTACCCTTGTTGTATACTTTTTCAGATATAAAACAAACACTATCTGTATTTCAAGCATTCACATGGAAATTACTTTATAATTTAGGGGGATGGGGTTATCCAGTTTATATTATCTGCATAGCTAAAACCGTATACCTCTTTTAAAAACAATATGGAATTTTTTAAGCTGCGTCATTGTTGACCTAGGCTTTCAAATAGCAATGGTCTGAATAGCACTTGTATTGCTGGTATTAAGAAATGCAAACAAATAATTCATGTTCTTCTTCCTGAAAGTTTATTTCTATTTAACTTTTCGTACAGTGCTTTATCAGGCTTCATCTCTGAATAATTCTTGAAGATAATTTTTGGCATCTGTCAATCCAGTTTTCATTTATTTGCTTCTCTGCTATAGAGAAATCCTCTGACGTTGATATGTTAGCAGAGAACCAGATACTTTCAGCCATGAAGCATCATTACAGGAAAGTAAGATACAGACTCGCCTGTCTCTCTCATCTTCCTTTATTGGAATGGACATTCTCTTTTTATGCACCGTGCAGCAGTTGTGACTGTCGTATTCTATATCTGCAGGTCTTTCCTGCCTCTCTTGCTCTCCTCGTATCTCTGCATTCCCTTGTCCTGGCCACTGTAGTAAATTAGTGATTGAATTTGAACAGTTGAGAGGCGGCTTCCTGTGATGTAAAGAACATTGAGGACACCTGGGTCCTAGCCCTAGCCCTGCCATTTCTAGCTGTGTGACTAGCCAAATCATTTTCATTTCTCTGGACTGCCGTTCCTTCATTTGAAAAATGAAGGGATTATACTGGTTGGTTCCCATTCTGCCTTATTTTGTGGCTAATACTTGATTGTCATCTCTCTCTAGATAGTAAACTCCTGAGGATGAGGAGTCTCTCGTATTATCTTTGATTTCCCACCATATCTAGCAAAATACCTTGTACTTGGTAGGCCCCCATTACATCCTTGTTGATAGAAGATAAGCAGGTCCCAAAGTCTTTTTTTTTTTTTTACATGTTTATACCAACTGTAATGGCCATTTGCAGGCTTTAAACTCTTAGAGGGCATGCTTTCCTGGTCAGCCCTTTTAAAACATTTATTTATTTATTTATTTATTCCCCCAAGACAGAGTGTGGAGTACAGTGGTGCAGTCTCATCTCACTGCAACCTCCACCTCCTGGGTTCTAGCAATTCTCGTGCCTCAGCCTCCCGAGTAGCTGGGATTACAGGCACATGCCCACCATGCCCATCTGATTTTTATATTTTTAGCAGAGACAGAGTTTCGCCATGTTGGCCAGGCTGATCTTGAACTCCTGACCTCAGGTGATCCACCTGCCTTAGCCTCCCAAGGTGCTAGGATTACAGGTGTGAGCTACCACGCCTGGCCCTGGTGAGCCTTTAATCTGCATACTTATTGATCATGATGACACAGTTAATAAGTAGTAAGGCAGTGTTATGAATCCAGATCTGTCTGATTTCAAAGTTTGTGTTTAATTGGCTACATTGCCTCTCTCAGTATAAGAATAAGCATAGTTCATCACCTTAAGGAATTTCTAGTCAGTTGTAAACAATTAACTATATAGGGTGAAGGGAAGTATATGTTGAATAGACTATTCTGATTAATGTCTGGCTTCTTGGGACACAGTCCTGTATTAATAGTCTTGAAGATTTTCATACTCAGAGATTTGAGCACACAGTAGGTTCCAAATCATAGTATTTTGAAAAGAATCTTGCCTTTTAGCCAGCATTTTGGAAAAGTTAAGCATTTTATTTCTGACCTGAATTCAAACACAGGTGTAACAAAACTAGGTGTAAGTAAACTAGTCTAACAGGAAGAAGAGAGAGATGTTTGGTCATGTAATGACTCCTCAAATCTACATTTTTTTCAGCAAGTAGAAAAGTATTTGGGTAGCTACAAATTGAGAGATTTTTCTTAGGCAACTAAAATATAGATAGAATATATACAGCTACAATTTGTCAATTTATAATTTAAAAATAATTTTAAAAAGAAACATACAGATAGAAATACATTTTTCCTCTTGAGTTATTTATGTGGAGCTCACTATGATACTTTTTTTTTTTGAGATGTAGTTGTGCTATGTCACTCAGGCTGGAGTGCAGTGGCGCAATCTCAGCTCACTGCAACCTCCATCTCCCAGGTTTAAGTGATTCTCTTGCTTCAGCCTCTCAAGTAGATGGGATTACAGGCACCACCAGTAGCCTGGCTAGTTTTTGTATTTTTAGTAGAGATGGGGGTTTCACCATGTTGGCCAGGCTGGTCTCAAACTCCTGACCTCCTGTGATCCACCCTCCTTCGCCTCCCAAAGTGCTGGGATTACAGGTGTGGCCACTAGGCTGGCCATGATACTTCATTTTAGTAACTTTTTGCATTAAAAAAAAAAAAGTTAGTGTGAAAGTATGCTGATTAGTTACAGCGAATAGCCTCCTGAGGTATATATATATATATACTTGGCCAGGCATGATGGCTCACGCTTGTAATCGTTGGGAGGCCAAGGTGGACAGATCATCTAAACAACTAACCCCCAGAGGTTAAGGCTCCAGTGAGCCATGATTGCGCCGCTGCAGTCCTGCCCGGGCGATGGAGTAAGATCTTGTCTCAAAAAAAAAAAAAAATTATATATACGTGTGTGTGTATATGTGTACATCTATATATATATATTTGCATTGTGTGTGTGTGTGTGTGTAATTGCGATGTACTTATTCCCCACTTTCATTTAAAAGAAAGGTCAAAACTGTGACTTTATCTTTTGCAGCCTGCACTACTTAGGAATGAGACAAAGGAAAATGATTGCCATTAATTGCTATGGGCAATTAAAAAGAGTTCTTTGTTCAGTAACAAATTGATTGTGTACAAATGAAAGTCAGCACTGCATTAATACAAGATTATTAGATTCTCGAAATCTGCATCTTCTGCTAGAGTAGCTTTCACTTCAAGGGAATGATTTCACTGGGAATAGCACACCTAAATGACCGGTGATTAACATGTATCACTAGGTCCTTATTTTTCAAAAATGCCTGTTAACTTTGTAGGTTAGAGGCTGGTGGATGCTGCTTTTATGTAACCTTTTTAATGGCCTGAAATCACTGTATAGTTTTTTTTTTTTTTTAGAGATGGAGTTTCGCTCTTGTTACTCAGGCTGGAGTGCAATGGCGCAATCTTGGCTCACTGCAACCTCCGCCTCCTGGGTTCAGGCAATTCTCCTGCCTCAGCCTCCCGAGTAGCTGGGATTACAGGCACGCGCCACCACGCCCAGCTAATTTTTGTATTTTTAGTAGAGACGGGGTTTCACCATGTTGACCAGGATGGTCTCGATCTCTTGACCTCGTGATCCACCCACCTCAGCCTCCCAAAGTGCTGTGATTACAGGCTTGAGCCACCGCGCCCGGCCTCTCTGTATAGTTTTTTAATGCTGCCAACATAGAAGAAATTTCTTCCTCTGATTGGTCAGTCAGTTGAGGAATATAGATACAATCTTTGATAAATGAAGAAAAAGGGAAAAAGACTCCTGGCTGCTGTGAAGTAGGTCTTGGCTGTTGGCATGTACCTAGTAGTAGTCACTCAGTAACCACAAAGGCTTAAAAAAATAGCAGCATTAGCTAAAGCAGTTGTGATTTGGTCTTACGTATATACAAGGTGTATACATTTTCTTCTGTACAAATCCTCTTTTAAGTTTTTTCTTAGAAAATCAAGGTATAGCCGGGCACAGTGGCTCATCCTGTAATCCCAGCACTTTGGGAGGCTGAGGCGGGTGGATCACGAGGTCAGGGGTTCGAGACCAGCCTGACCAACATGGTGAAACCGTCTCTACTTAAAAAAAAAATAGAAAAATTAGCCAGGCATGGTGGCTCACACCTGTAATCCCAGCTACTTGGGAGGCTGAGGCAGGAGAATTGCTTGAACCCAGGAGGTGGAGGTTGCGTTGAGCCAAGAGCATGCCATTGCACTCCAGCCTGGGTGACAGAGCAAGACTCTGTCTTAAAAAAAAAGAAAATAAAAGAAAATTAAGTTATAGACTGGGCGCAGTGGCTCACATCTGTAGTCCCAGCACTTTGGGAGGCTGAGGCGGGAGGATTAGCTGAAGTCGAGAGTTCAAGACCAGCCTTACCAACATGGAGAAATCTTGTCTCTATTAAAAATACAAAATTAGCTGAGTGTGGTGGCACATGCCTGTAATCCCAGGTACGCGGGTCACTGAGGCAGGAGATTGCTTGAACCGGTTGTGGTGAGCCAGGATCGCGTCATTGCATTTCAGTTTGGGCAACAAGAAGGAAACTCCATTTCAAAAAAAAAATTAAGGTATAATCTACATGTAGAAAAGTACATAAATCTTAATGTACATTTCTGAATTTTTTGCACATTGTTCAGCCCCTTTTTCATGTGAAGGGGCATAATTCCCTTTCCTACGTAGTTCTTACTACACTGAAAATTATTTGAGAGTCTCTATATACAGCACTTCAATTATTACTCTATGTTGAATATATAAATGTGAACATGCAGGATATTTCTTTTTTTCTTTGAGATGGAGTCTCACTCTGTCGCCCAGGCTGGTATGCAGTGGTGCAATCTCAGCTCACTGCAACCTCCACCTCCTGGGTTCAAGTGATTCTCCCACCTCAGGCTTCAAAGTAGGGGGGATTACAGGCGCCCGCCACCACACCCGGCTCATTTTTGTATTTTTAGTAGAGATGGAGTTTCACTATGTTGGATCAGGCTAGTCTCAAACTCCTGGCCTCAGGTGATCCACCCACCTTGGCTTCCCCAAAATATTGGGATTACAGGTGTGAGACACCAAGCCTGGCCCATCTAGGATATTTCCAACTTTACCTGTCTGGGCAAGGTCACATACCTGATAAAGAATGGGATAACAGTGATTTCATTGTATAAATTATCAACAAGTGTGATAGCGTTCTTTTAACAACAGATCTTTTCTACTTGTGTTGTAATTCCAGACTATTTTGGTCTCTGTTTGCTGGAAATTAAAAAAAAAATAGTGGTCACTGCTGGCGAGAGTGAAATGGGACTGGTATTGAAACTGCCATTAGGCTGGTAAACTGGTGTGAACTTTCTGGAAAGTAGTTTGGCAGTGTTTTGTTTGCTTGTTTTTTGAGATGGAGTCTCGCTTGGTCACCCAGGCTGAAGTGTAGTGACATGATCTCAGCTCACTACAACCTCTTCCTCCCAGGTTCAAGCAATTCTGCCTCAGCCTCTGGAGTAGCTGGGATTATTAATGCCTGCCACCATGCCCAGCTAATTTTTGTATTTTTAGTAGAGATGTGGTTTTAATATGTTGGCCAGGCTGGTCTCAAACTACTCACCACATGTGATCCACCTGCCTTGGCCTCCCAAAGTGCTGAGATTACTCGCGTGAGCCACTACTCCTGCCCAGCAGTGTTTTAAGACACACAGAGGCTGGGTGCAGTGGCTCACACCTGTAATCTCAGCGTTTTGGGAGGCTGAGGTGGGCGGATCACCTGAGGTCAGGAGTTCAAGACCAGCCTGGCCAACATGGTGAAAGCTTGTCTTTAAAAAAAAAAAAAAAAAAAAAAAAAAAAGACACATAGAACCCTTGATCTACTTATAAGAATCTATGGGGGCTGGGTGCTGTGGCTCATGCCTGTAATCCCAGCACTTTGAGAGGCCTACGTGGGCAGATCACCTGAGGTCAGTTTGAGATCAGCCAGGCCAACATGATGAAACTACGCCTCTACCAAAAATAGAAAAATTAGCCGGGCGTTGTGGCTGGTGCCTGTAATCCCAGTTACTTGGGAGGCTAAGGCAGGACAATCACTTGAACCCGAAAGGCGGAGGTTGTAGTGAGAGATCTGATCGTGCCACTACATTCCAGTCGGGGCGACAAAGCAAGACTCTGTCTCAAAAAAAAAAAGGAATCTATAGGGACCCAGAAATAGAGATGTGAGTCAAGATTATATACAAAAGAGATGTCAACTATGTTAACTGTAGGGATGCTTATAAATTAAAGAAAAAAAAAAAGCGAAACAATCTAAATGTTTTTACCTTAGGGGAGTGGTTTGCTTTATGTAAGGTTATGGAATCATTTAAAAAAGTAGGATATAGAACTGTTACAGCATGAGTCCAGTTATTTTAAAATATATGTGCAAAAGTGGAAGAAATATGCTGAAGTATTGTTACTTAACTGTTGTAGGATTATGGATGATTGTAACTTTTTAAAAAATTTTCCCAAGCTTTCTACAATGATCTTACTATTTCTGATTCAACGGAAGAGAAGATTAAACAAGATTTTTTTTTTGTAGTGTGGTATAAACAAATGAAGGAAAAATTGAGTCGAAAAGCAAGAAATTAGTCATGGTAACATCTGTTGGACTCTAGTACCTTTCTTAGAGAACAGTCAAATTAATTACTAATAATATTGCCAAGTACTAACAGTGATCTGTTTGTTACATACCAGAAGACTACAAAATGTTACCTCATACTGTCCTCAAAATAACCCTCTGGGGTAGGTGGTATCTCACCTTCTAGAGGCGGACCAAGGTTCCAGCGAGGGGACTTGACCGAGGCCACATGGCTTGTCGATATCCAAAGCAGTCTGGCCGTGAGTCTCTGCTCTCTACTGCCTTCTCTGGCCGACTTTGCACTTTCTAGAACGCTTTCCCACAGTGTGATCTCAGCCCAGAGATGAAGAGAATTCAAGTCTACTGCATGGTCAGTAGGTAGAGCTGAATCCCGGGTTCTCTTTGAACAAAGTTCCCCACTAGCCCCTGAGGTGTGCTTGTTTTAAGAGAAAGGAGTGGGCCAGGCACGGTGGCTCACGTCTGTTGTGGGGCTGAGGTGGGCGGATTATTTGAGGTGAGGAGTTCAAAGCTAGCCTAGCCAACATGGTGAAACCCTGTCTCTACTAAAAATACAAAAAAAAAAAAAAAAAAGCCAGGCATGGTGGCAGGTGCCTGTAATCCCAGCTAACTTGGGAGGCTAAAGCAGGAGAATTGTTTGAACCTGGGAGGCAGAAATTTCATTGAGCTGAGATTGCGCCACTGCACTCCAGCCTGGGCAACAGAGCAAGACTCCGTCTCAAAAAAAAAGAGAAAGGATCATTGGTCAAAGTCAGGAATAGCTATGAAATTGGTTATCTGTTCCCTCTTAATGGGCCAAAAACATTTTAATAGGGTTAAAATTTATTTGATATTTAAACTATTAAATTTTTTTCCCAAACTTCTATTTTGAAGTCCTGTCTTGAATTAATTTTATTTAAATATTTAAATAATTTAGCAGTAAGTCTAGTAAGCAGAAGAGGGAACAAACTAAATCTTTGTAGTTCCAGAGGATAGACGGAGACATCTGGGTGTCCACAAGGTTTAAAGTGCGCAAAGTATGCCTCCTCAGGATTTATATGCCGTTTATAAAACAAAAGCAATTCTTCCCTTACAGGTAACACAAGGAACGCTGTGTTTCTTTAGCAGAAAGTAAAAAATTTAGAAGGCCAGTGGCCTGATTATTTTTCCTTGATCTTATCTTAAAGAATTATGTGTGACTAAGCATTTCAGTGCAAGAATGCATTGACTAGGAAGACAGATTTCATCTTATTATGAGAAGAACTTTTTTTTTTTCCAAGACGGGGTTTCACCATGTTGGTCAGGCTGGTCTTGAACTCCCGACCTCAGGTGATCTGCCTGTCTTGGCCTCCAAAGTGCTTGGATTACAGGCATGAGCCACTACGCCCTGCCGAGAAGAACTTTTAAAGAAAACAATTCAAGCTCATGTTTTGTCTTTTGTTTGTTTGTTTGTTTGTTTGTTTGTTTGTTTGTTTTGAGTTCGAATCTCACTCTGTTGCCCAGGCTGGAGTGCAGTGGCATGATCTTTGGCTCACTGCAACCTCCACCTCCTGGGTTCAAGAAATTCTCCTGCCTCAGCCTCCCGAGTAGCTGGGATTACAGGCGCCCGCCACCATGCCCATCTAATTTTTGTATTTTTAGTAGAGATGGGGTTTCACCATATTGGCCAGGCTGGTCTTGAACTCCTGACCTCATAGTCCACCTGCCTCAGCCTCCTAAAGTGCTGGGATACAGTTGTGAGCCACCGCGCCCGGCCCTTTTGTCTTGAATATGCAATAATTTTCAAGTTTACCGCATTCAGTTTTGTTGTTATTTAACAAGATGTCTACACATATATCTATGAAATGTTTGCTTACTGATCATTCTTTCTGTTGTTGAGGAGAGTAACAGACCTTCACTGCAAGGAGGTTGACGTTCAGGCATCAGGAAGAAATTGCAAAATAAAGCGCTTTGGATGCTCTGTGAGATTTTTGTCTTTTGTTCCTCCATTTGTTCTGTGACATCACCTAGAACATGACCTGACAGGTCAATATGAGCTCAGTCTTGGATGGATAAAGGTATGAGTTTCTGAGTGAGAGAGCCCTAGAAAAGATGAAGTATCTCATCTTTCAGTCTTCAGATTCTTGGGATTCTTCATGCTGTGTAGAGGAAAGAAACTTTTCTGTTGTTTTCATTTGCATCTTACCAACTTTGTGACTTAGGACGAGTCATTTATTCTTATTTTGAGTTATTTTGTCTATAAAATGGGCTTAAATACCTGTTCTGCTTGCCACAGTCTTTATTTGTATTTTTTGAGAACTAACTGCCAAGAGTTCACATAGCTTTAAAGTTGGTAACCTTTTAGTTTGCTGGGAGAATGAAAGAGAACAATTAGGTAATTAAAATGTTCATGTTCGGGTAAGCGAGCATGTTAGAGGGCTGCACAGGCGGCATGATGAAGTTTTCGATCAGTGGAGCAGCACATGCCATCGATTTATCTCTTGGTCTTTGTAAAACTTGTAATTTGCCCCTAGGTGGCACATAGTTTGAAGGTCTTATCAGAAAGTGTCTCATACATGTAAATGTTAACACCAGGTCATAGGCTAAATAGCGGGTCGTAGGCTCAATAGTGGGTCGTAGGCTCAATAGCGGGTCGTAGGCTCAATAGCGGGTCATAGGCTCAATAGCAGTTGTCCACATTTGTTGAGGTATTCTTTTTCTCATCACCATGCATGGCCTGGGTCCCAGTCCCACCTCTTAACCTGCTCTACACCCTCTGACAAGGCCCTTTAAACTCTTGGTGCCTTAGGCACCTTGTCTATTAAAAAGGAGAATATAGTAGTTTTTACCCACAGTCACTGTGCTAGTTAATATGCTTAGTATATGTCATTATTAGTGCTCCGCTATCTGGACCTGACTTTAAAAATGTTTTTTTATTTTTGAGACAGGGTCTCGCCCATGGTCCATGGAGTGCAGTGGCGCGATCACACCTTCCTATAGCCTTACCTCACAGGCTCAAACAGTCGTCTTGCCTCAGCCTCTGAGTAGCTAGTTGGGACCACAGGGGTACATGTGCCACCATGCTCAGCTAATATTTAAAATTTTTTAATTTTTTGTAGAGACAGGGCTTGCTGTGTTGCCCAGGCTGGTCTTGAACTCCTAGGCTGAAGCCTCCCTTTTCAGCCTCCCAAAGCACTGGGATTACAGGTGTGAGCAGCTGCACCTGGCCAGATTTGGCTTTAATAGACCAGCTAAACATAACTCGGAGTTGGTGTGGGATTAGTTCCAGACTACTGTAATAAAGCAGATAAGGCAATAAAGCCAGTCACACAAATTTTTTGGTTTCCCAGGGCATATAAAAGCTGTTTTGGCTGGGTGCAGTGCCTGTGATCCCAGCACTTTGGGAGGCCGAGATGGGCAGATCACAAGGTCAAGGGATCGAGACCATCCTAGCCAACATAATGAATCCCTGTCTCCACTAAAAATACAAAAATTAACTGGGCATGGTGGCACATGGCTGTTGTCCCAGCTACTCAGGAGGTTGAGACAGGAGAATCACTTAAACCTGAGACGCGGAGGTAGCAGTGAGCTGAGATCATACCACTGCACTCCAGTGGCAATAGAGCGAGACTCCATCTCAAAAACAAACAAAAATTAGCTGGACTTGATGGCACAAGCCTGTAATCCCAGTTGCTCAGGAGGCTAAGGCAGGAGAATCGCTTGAACCCAGGAGGCAGAGGTTTCAGTGAGCCACTATCACGCCATGCACTCCAGCCTGGGCAACAAACAAGAAGGAAACTTTTTTCTGTTTTCACAGAGATGGAGTTTCGCTGTGTTGGCCAGGGTGGTCTCAAACTCTTAGCCACGTGATCTGCCCGCCTCAGCCTCCCAAAGTGCTGGGTTTATACGTGTGAGCCACCTTGCCCAGTTCCCCCAGCTTCCTTTTCTTTTCAAGAGGAGGTCTTATTTATTCTGTTGCCCAGCCTGGAGTGCAGTGGTGTGGTCATGGCTCATTGAAGCCTCAGCCTCCTGGGCTCAGGTGGTTCTCTGGCCTCAGCCTCCTGTAAAAATATGTTATTGCTTAAAAAATGCTGGTGATCATCTGAGCCTTTGGTGAGTCATAACCTTTTTGCTGGTGGATGATCCTGCCTTGATGCTGATGGTTTCTGACTCATCAGGGTGGTGGTTTCTGAAGGTTGGGCTGGCTGTGGCAATTTGTTAAGACAACAACGAAGTTTGCCACATTCATTGATTATTTTTTTCATGAAAGATTTCTCTGTAGCATGAAATGCTGTTTGATATCATTTTATCCACAGTAGGACCTCTTTCAAAATTAGAATCAAGCCACTCAAACCCTGACACTGCTTCATCAGCTAAGCTGTGCAATACTCTGAGTCCTTAGTGGTCATTTCTGTAGGGTTCACACGTCCTCACCAGGAGTAGATTCTGTCTTAAAAAATTGCTGGGCAGACTGGGCACAGTGGCGCATACCTGTAATCCCAGCACTTTGGGAGGCCAAGGTGGGCAGATCACCTGAGGTCAGGAGTTTGAGACCAGCCTGGCCAACATGGAGAAACCCTGTCTCTACTAAAAATACAAAAATTATCTGGGCGTGGTGGCGAGCGCCTGTGGTCCAGGCACTTGAGGCCGGAGAATCACTTGAACCCAGGAAGTGGAGGTTTCAGTGAGCTGAGATTGTACCATCGCACTTCCAGTCTAGATGGCAGAGCTAGACTCTGACTCAAAAAACAAACCGCTGGGCACAGTGCCCAACCCCTGTGACCCCAGCACTTTGGGAGACCGAGGTGGACAAATCACTTGAGGTCAGGAGTTCAAGGCCAACCTGGCCAACATGGCTAAATCCCATCTAGAGTACAAACATTAGCCGGGCATGGTGGTGCATGCCTGTAGTCCCAGATAATTGGGAGGTTGAGGCACAAGAATTGCTTGAACCCTGGAGACAGAGGTTGCAGTGAGCTGAGACCAAACCACTGCATTCCAGACTGGGCGATGGGGTGAGACCCTGTCTCAAAAAAACACTTTTTTTGCTCACCAATGAGAAGCAATTCCTGTCCAGGTGCATGACTCACACCTGTAATCCCAACACTTGGGAGGCTGAGGCGGGCAGATCACCTGAGTTCAGGAGTTGGAGATCAGCCTGGCCAATATGGAGAAATTTCATCTCTACTAAAAATAAACATTAGCTGAGCGTGGTGGCGTGTGCATGTAATCCCAGCTACTTGAGAGGCTGAGGCAGGAGAATCTCTTGAACCTGGTCCCTGCAGTTGCAGGTAGGTGGAAGTTGCAGTGAGCTGAGATTGCACCATTGTATTCCAGCCTGGGCAACAAGAGCAAAACTCTGTCTCAAAAAAAAGCAATTCCTCATCTATTCATTTTATTATAAGAGTGCAGTAATTCTGTCCCATCTTCAAATTCCATTTCTAATTCTAGTTCACTTTCTACCACGTCGGTGGTATTCCTCCAGTGAAGTCTTGAACTCCTCAAAGCTGTCCATGAGGGTTAGAATCAACTTCTTCCAAATTCCTGTTAATGTTGATATTGTGACCTCGCTCATAAATCATGAATCTTCTATTTTTATTTTATTTTATTTTTTTAAGAGATGGGTCTGCTCTGTCACCCGGGCTGGAATGCAGTGGTGTGATCATAGCTTACTCTAACTTTGAACTCCTGGGCTCAAGGGATCCTCCTGCCTCAGCCTACCGAGTAGCTGAGACTACAGGCATATGCTGCCATGCTGGGCTAATTTGTTTTGTTTTGTTTGTTTGTTTGTTTTTAAGACGGGGTTTCACCATGTTGGTCAGGCTGGTCTTGAACTCCTGATCTCAGGTGATCCACCTGCCTCAGCCTCCTAGAGTTCTGGGATTACAGGTGTGAACCACCGCGCCTGGCCTTGTTTTGGTTTTTTAAAAGAGATAGGGTCTTGCTACATTGTCCAGGTTGGTCTTGAATTCCTGGCCTCAAGGGATCCTCCTGGTGCCATGGCCTCTCAAATGAATGGGTTTTTTTGGAGACATAGACTCACTGTCACCCAGGCTGGAGTGCAGTAGTGTCATCTTGGCTCACCACAACCTCTGCCTCCTGGGGTCAAGCCATTCTCCTGCCTCAGCCTCCCAAGTAGCTGGGATTACAGGCCCATGCTACCACACCCAGCTAATTTTTGTATTTCGAGTAGAGACAGGGTTTCACCATGTTGGCCAGGCTTGTCTTGAACTCCTGACCTGATCCACCTGCTTCGGCCTCCCAAAGTGCTAGGATTATAGGTGTGAGCCACCGCGCCTGGCCTAGCTTTTAAACCGGAATACATTAGGTATTTGTCCTAATGCTCTTCCTCCCCTTGCTCCTCACCCACTGACAGGCCCCAGTGTGTGATATTCCCCTTCCTTGTGTCCATGTGTTCTCATTGTTCAACTCCCACTTGTAAGTGAGAACATTCTGTGTTTGGTTTTCTGTTCCTGTGTTAGTTTGCTGAGAATGATGGCTTCCAGCTTCATCCATGTTCCTGCAAAGAACATGATCTCGTTCTTTTTTATGGCTGCAGGCTGTTTCACTTTCTTGCCACTCGTGTTCACTAGAGTAGCACTTTTATTATTATTATTTTTTTTAGAGACAGGGTCTCGCTATGTTGCCCAGGCTGGAGTGCAGTGGCTATTCCCAGGCGCGATCCCACTGCTGATCAGCACGGGAATTTTGACCTGCTCCATTTCCAACCTCGGCCGGTTCACCCCTCCTTAGGCAACCTGGTCCCCTGCTCCCGGGAGGTCACCATATTGATGCTGAACTTAGTGCGGACACCCGGTTGTCATAGCCCACTACAGCCCAGAACCTCTGGACTCAGGTGATCCTCCCGCCTCAGCATCCCAAGTAGCTGGGACTACAGGTATGCGCCACTCACTGCGCCCAGCTGCTTTTAGTTTCTTTCAGTAACTTTTCCTTTTCGTTGACAACTTGGCTGTTTGGCACAAGAGGCCAAGCTTTCAGCCCCTCTTAGCTTTTGACATGCCTTCCTCACTAGGTGTAATCATTTCCAGCTTCTGCTTGAAAGCGAGGGACATGCGACTCCTCCTTTTACTTGAGCATTTAGAGGCCATTGTGGGATTATTAATTGGCCTAATTTTTTGGAAGGGAGGAAGGCAGGAAGGGAGGAAAGGAGGAAGGGAGGGAGGAAGGGAGGGAGGTGGGGAGGGAGGGAGAGAAGGGAAGGAAGGAAATCGAGCAGTGACAGAGACATTGCCGATCTGGATCTAGAGGTCTACAAGTTGATTTCTTTTTTTTCTTTTTTTGAGAGAAGGAAAGAAAAAAAAGGAGTGAAGGAGAGGAAGAAAGAGGAAGAAAAAGGGAGAGAGAAGGGAAATGTTGCTTTATTCTAAAAAAAATGGGTATTAATAATGGCCAATCAATGTTTCATTTAAACCTATGAGTAGGTGTGATGTGGTATTGACAAGAATGTATATTTTGTAT